CGGGAACATCCAGGTGACTTGGGCGGGGGCCGTGAACTCTGTCTCAAGGGGGAAGGATGGCAGGGCCAGGTGCCCGTCAGATATAAAAGGAGACAGCCCAGGACCCAAAGGGGGGGCCGCCCAGCTCCCTGCTCTCCTCCCTCAAGCTGTCCCCAATAGCAGTGTGCACTTACAGCCGCGCCCCGTTCCCACCTCCCAGGTGCCCCGGGCACTCCCACTGCTCCTGCACTCAGCTGTGTCCTGGGAATCTGTCAGTCACCTGTCACTGGTCTGCCCTGAGCCCTGGATGCCGCCAGATGCTCCCACCTCCTGGGCGTGCTCTCCTCCCTTCTGCGGTGTCTCCACGGCTCCTGCGCCCGCCTCGGTTCTGGCTGCTCCTCTTCTCCGCGCACCCCCTGTAGCAGCATCTTCCACCCCAGGCGCCAGCTTGCCTCGCACCCCAAGGACCTCGAGCCTTCCCTCCACCCAGATCCTCACAGGGTGATCACGAGACCTGTTTACTGAGCGGCTCACAGCACTGATGCCCTTTGTCCGGGGAGCCCCACACTGCCCTTCCGTCCCCATCTACCAGACGCCCGAGGAGCCTGAGGCTGCCCCCCACTGCCGCGCACCCCAGTAGTTGGCAGCCCCCTGCTGAACCTCTTGGATGCCCCCCTTCCTCCTGAGCCCACAGCCCGGCCCCAGCTCAGGTGCTCATCTGTCCTCTGCTGCTTCTCCCCTTTGAGTCTGGCCACAGCGGGGATGTCCTGCACCTGTCTCCACTGTCTCCACGGTGAAGAATGTGGTGTTCTGAAGGGCCTGCAGGACTGCACCTGCAGGGTTCTCTGTCCTCACCTGGGCTGTTCCACTGGGCCCCCACACCCTAAGCCAGGGGTCACAGGGTCACTCCACGTGGGCTGGGCAGGGCTGCTATCTCTGCTTCCCTGTGACTGAGGGTGGCCAGGGCAGCCAGGGCCTTGTCACTGGGCAGCATGTTCAGACCGACGGCCTCGGGCTGTGCCACAGAAGGCCGTCCCAACCCTCGTCGGGCTCCGGCGGCCAGAGCTGACATTGCGAGACTTGACAAGGATGACAGCTGCCGTGACTGGAAGCACCTGAGCTGTGTTTCAGCCCATGAATGCTTCCCACCACGCCATAAAAACATTGACGGAGGCTAGAGCACAGGGTCATTGCTCTAAAACCAGTCCCTAAAGGGAAAGAACCAGGCACTTGTTCCGCTTTTCGAAGCCCATTTTACCAGGGCGACCAGATGGTCGATAAGCTAGAGTTCTCTTGAGAGAACTCCAGCCAGTGAATGGAGCCCTGGGGGACCAGCCCTGCCTAGGCTCCGCCGTGCACACAGTGCTATGACCCGGCGGTGCCCAGGACAACGGGCTGGTCAGGAGGACTCCGTGGGGCACCGGCAGCAAGCCCCGCTTCTGGAAACTCCTCCGGACAAGTAGCCTGCTTTCTTTAACAAATAGATTGTAAGGAAATAAACAAAATGGAGGGGAGTCTACAGATTAAAAGAGACTTAGAAGACGCTAAAAAACAAGCAGGCAGCACCAACCTGCCGTGCTGCCGTCTCAAGGGTCTGCCTTTCTGGGCCTCGCTGGCCTTAACTGTATGCAGCTTCTCTGTTAGATTTAACAGTAAAAAGCCTTCAAAGGATGAACTGTGTGCATCCTTCGAGGTCTTACTTCTTCCAGGAGGCCCTCGAGGACCTCAGCCAGCATGGACTTCCCCGTTGTACTTCCACAGCGCCTGCAGCAGTGGGCGACGTGAGGATGCTAGGCCCTCTCCCCACAAAGG